CTCTCGTCCATGTTTACTTAAATATCTGTTTTTAAAGAATAGTGTAGTATTTAAGTATTGTGTTTTTTGGACTTACTAAAATGCTTGAGAAGCGAGGGTGATTAACGAGAGTGTGTTTAAGGCCTTCGATGATAGCAGGTGGGTTTCCTTTGACTTTACATCCCAATGTGACGATTATCGCACAGTTAAAGTCCGGCGAATTGAACAGCCGTGAGCATGGGCTGAGCGGCTCCTCCTCCACCGTCGTCTTCTCCTTCTCTCCACCCATCCCTTTGACCTATTTTTGACTATTTCCCAGTTTTGTGGGAAATATTTCTTTTCACTCACTTTCACTTTATTCATCTCTATATATAAATAAATTACATTACACGATTTTAGTTGTGGACTCATGGTCCCTTTGGTTAACCGACATTGCATCATGACATCATGTGGATGTTGTTATTCATGTCCGTATAAGTTTATGGTGTTTTAGGTTTTAAAAAAAAATTATGGTGTCTTTTTAATATATTATAACATCACCAGGTGGACATTTTGTTTTATACATTACTTTTTCTGCATATATATAAACCTTTTTTTAAGAGAAATTTCAAAAAATACCACTTTTCAAGTGCCACTTTATAAAAATGCCACACTTTTGAAATTTTTTAAAAAATGCCACTTTTTCAAAATTATTTTTTTTTATATTATTTATGTTTGGGTTAATTATGTTCTATTAGGGTTTAGTTTTGAGTGTTTATTGGGTTTTAGGTGTCAAAACATTTTTTAAGATTTAAAATTTTAAGATATAGGCTTTATAAATCTATAATTAGTGACATTTTTGTAAATAGACACCTTTAAGTGGCATTCTTGCAAATGTACATACAAAAAGTGGTATTTTTGTAATTATCCCTTTTTTTAATGAGGAAAATAAGATTTTCTAGACCCAAGACTTAAATTAATCTTGAAAACTTGTTAATTTTGTTGTTGGTCTTAAAACTTGTAAATGTGCAAATAGTGCAAGTAAAATGACCAAATTAAAATCAAATCCTAATGTGCCTCCCATTAATGTGGTAAGAGTGGCCGGAGTTCATTTAAAACAAAAAACAAAAAAAATGGCCGGAGTTCTCCCAATTAATAATGTGGTTAAAGTGGTTATGTGCCTTCATTCATAGAAGGAAAATTGAC